TGATAAATAGGCCGTTTACTCAAAATCCACCTGTCTCCTTCTGTTACCACAACAGGCAGATACCAGACTGGAGCAATGATGTCATCTACTCAGTAGAGAAAGCGGCCTTTGGCTGTCGTAAAAGTTGAGACAACACTGAATCTGAATGATTAGCAATGTGCATTTAAGGGTAATACAGACAGTATGAGAGACTATTAACATTGGGAAAGGGAAATAAAGCTAATAAAAGCACATTAAAAGTATTTAGAACTACAAATGAACATATGAAGGACTGGGCCACTTGTGAGTGCTTTGGGTCGGGGTGAAAGAAGGGCCAACAGCAGCTCTCGATCAATAAAAAGAATTAAACATGCTTGAACACCTTCAATAAGAAAAAAACAAGAAATGTTTTGTTGTACAATCCCAATTCCAAAGACGTTGCCTCAAGCAGAATACAGTCATTTGCACATTTGTTTCAACCTATTTTCAATTGAGCACACAAAGACAAGAATGTTCTAATTGATACACTTTGGGGTTTGTTTGTTTGTTTGTTTTTCTGCAAATCTTCACTTGTTTTGAATTTGATGCTTGCATTTTCCAACAAAGAGGGTACCAGTGCGTGTTTTACCACTGTGTTGCATCCACACCTTTCCTTCCAACACAAGTGTATGGGAACTGAGGACACTAACTGTTGAAGTAGTGTAGGTGTATTCTTTCCCATCCCTGCTTGATGTACAACTTCAGTTACTCAACAGCTCAGCGTCTCCGTTGTAGTAATTTGGGTTTTATAATGCTCCACACATGTTCAATGGGAGTCTGAACTACAGGCAGTCCTGTCTAGTGGTTGTGGCGACAGAGCTGTTTTCAGATGCTCTGACCACATAACACCACTAGGGGTCACCAAAGTACCATTCTTATGAATCACACAACTTGAATCCTTTTTTTTCCGTGTCCTGTCTGGCTGTGGAGCAAACAGAATTGATGTCTGAATGCTGGTGACAAGCCTTACAGATTTACTCTCAGGTGGAGCATCAAAGCGTCTGCTGTCACGCCTGATACTTAAAACTTTATTGTTATTGTTTTTGAATGCTTTGTAATTCCGAGCAGACACGGAGACAGAGGTGAAAGAGAAAGGAAAAGACAAAAGGTGGTGGTGGTGATGATGGTGGTGGTGGGGTGGGGGTGGGGGTGGGGGGTCCACAAAAATAAACAATAATGAACAAGAGTCTGCTTCTAGACCTGCAGAAAGAGAAAGAGAAGAAAAAAATGGGACACACAACAATACATCAGGAGCAAGCTATCACTGCGTCATCTTGATGATGAAATATAAAATCAACATTGTTTAACTGAACAATCACACGGTAATAAATCATAGTGCATTTAGTGGCAACGACAGCCTTAAGACATGTGTTGAACGTGCCCAAGTCCATTTTTATGAGAGCACCACGTGAGCACCTGTGTGTGTACACGCGCTTGTCTATGTAAGGTTTCTCTATAGGAGCGTCCAATAGAGAGTGTGAGGGGCCACAGATCCGCCCCCCAAAGATGTGTAGGAGACGAGGGGAGCTCCAAGTCCCAGAGATCCAGGAGCTGCCCCAGAGCACAGGAACTCCAGGGAGACTGCAACCAGAAAGCCCCCCCCCCCCCCCCCCCCCCCCCCCCCCCCCCCCCCCGAGAGGCACAGAGGATCGCCCCGGGTTGAATTCTTCCTGGAGAGCTTATTACTGAGAGCTTGTTATCATTTATTACTGCATTTCATCTTGATTAACAGAAACATAGGAATTCAAAATCACTGCACTCTTATTTCAGAGAGGTAGGAATATGCCACCATCTTCAAATAACAAGATCGATGCATAATGAGGCATCTTTCTCCTTAATACAGGTGGGACATCATGAAGCATGAATACAAGAGCACTGCCTGCTGGTGTCATGGTCTGCGTCCTGCGTCCCCCTCATGTGTTCTCCAGCCCCCTCTAGGTTCCCCTTATGTGTCTTCTTGTATTCCCCAGCCCACTCCAGGTTCTCCCCTTAGGTTTCTGTGCCCTTTTAGGTCTCCAACCCCTCCAGATATCCTTCTAGTCTTCCGTGCCCCTTTGGGTCTCCAACCCCTCCAGGTGTCCCTCTAGTCTTCCGTGTCCCTTTGGGTCTCCAACCCCTCCAGGTGTCCCTCTAGGATCCCCCTCATGTGTACCCAAGCTTCCTGTGCACCTTCTTGTCTCCAGCTCCCACCAGTTTTCCCAGATTCACTTATTCTTTATTTCTCTTTGTAATTATATGATCTATCTAGGTTTTCCCTGTAGTTTTCATAGGTTCAGGTTTTCTTTTAGTTTCCTTCCCCTGTTCCTTCCCCACCGGTTTATTGATTCTCCCTTTCTCCCCAGTTCATTAGTTATTTATCTGGTTCTTTTAGGCCCTGTCCACACGTAGCCGGGGATCTGCCAAAACGTAGATATTTTTCTACATTTTGGCCTGTCATTCACACGAAAACGGATCTTTTAAAAAACTCCGGCCAAAGTGAAGATCTGCGTTTTCTCCGTTTTGGGTGTCTGCATGTGGACAGACAAAACCGGAGTTTTAAGGTCTGCAACGTCACTTTCCGCGAAAAAAAATGCTGACGTCACGTGTGCGACCTGTGTTTACACTAGCCGACAGCATGGATGCCCTCAGAGCTGCGCTCGCTTTATCAATTGTCCAAGCGCTTTTTAAATGTTTGTTTTTGCAAGCGGGGGAGGTACTGCCGTCTACAGGTCTGGCATGTCCTTAACAACGTATTTATCCGGGTACGTGTGGACAGAGTTTTTTTTTTAAACGAGGTGGTGTGGATGCAAGTGTTTGGAGGGGCGAATATTCGTTTTTTTTTTAAACCCGGCTACGTGTGGACTAGGCCCTAGTCTTTAGGTTTGGTTATTATTCATAGGTTATGTTTTATTTCCCCCTCCTCAGCTTAGATTCCTCTCCCTAATTAGTAAATTGATTTCACCAGGTTTCCTCGGTTTCTCTCTCCCCACGCACCTGCAGCTCTTCTCCCAATCATCCTGCCCCTGTGTTTAAAACCCTGTCTGTGTCTCAATGTGTTGTTGGTCCATTGTTTGTGTCATCGTTGTCTCGGTTCCCTCTCCTGGTCTCTAGGTTTGCGCTTTAGGATTTTTTGGATTTCGGTTTTTGGCTTCCTGCCCTTTTGGATTTTACTTTGGACACTTTTTCCTAATAAAGGATTTTACATTTTCACTCCTGCCTTGTGCCATCCTGGATCTGCATCTTGGGTCCTAACCTCCTCCTGGCGTACATTGTGACAGATGAGAAATCAAAAGCTGCGGAGGTGGACATCAGTGGCCTTCAGAAAGAAACAATGTGCAGTGCGAATCCACTCTGGATAATTGGAGCTGCTTAGAAATGTGCTGAAAGGAAAAAGAGGCACAGCAGTGTGAGATGGCAATGACAGCAAAACACAGCTACTCACCACGAAATCACACCTTGCATTATAAATCTTTACATCTCATTTAAAGAAAAAAACTCACACACACACACAAATACTGACTTTTAAATGTACAAATCAGTAAAAATCAATATAGCGAGTCTCCAACATCTTCAAAAATTCAAATTATCTATATATTTGTTAAATTGTTAAAAGAATATTTCATTTTTAAAGCTAAACTTTACACCTATTTTATTACATTTGTTGTTGCCCTGTCTGTTGTTTTCTGGGGGTAAAACGGCTCCAGTGCGTTTATTTGAGGTCAGCCGGAGGAGAAAGTCACAGAACATGACCGGATTCTGAGCCTTATTTCCTGATATTTGGACATCTCACCTTTGATTGGCAAACCGCAACGTACCACTGACTCTGTTTGCTCTGCAACACTGATGTTTTATCTCCACAACTAACACAAGTCTGGAGGAGTTCTACTGTGTGGTGGAGTTGCTCATGCTAACAGTTAGCTTCTACTAGTCAAGATGTTCTCTGCTGTTTCCTGGACCCTAAACCAACAACAGCCTTCCCCGTCGTGAGTCAAGATGGGCGAGTCCATGAATGCTAAATGACCATGTGAAGTAGATCTGTCTGGATTTTTAAATCCTTGAGTTTCACCGTTCATTTTCTATCAGAAGCTCATGCAGAAGGTAGGTGTAGGAGACTATGTTCATGTTCAGCCTGCATGAAAAACCCAAGTGACTAATCATTTAAAAAACAAGACATTGTTTTTCAGTGAACCTCCTCTTTACCATGTTTACATGATACTTTTATATTTTTGCACCTTAAACTGGCTGTGTGTAAGCGTGTGTGTGTGTGTGTGTGAGTGTGCATGACTTCTATTTTAGCCTTATTTTATGTTCCTCATATTTTACTACCTCTTACGTTAGCTGTCTTTAACGAGTGCTAAGTCAATGTCGTTTTACACCTGTGCAACGACAAATTATCTAGAATATTCGAGCTGCTTCAATATGAAAAAAATCATGATCAAGATACTTTAAAGTTAAAAATCTAAAATATTTAACATTGTTGAGAAACCCACATTTATATTTTTTTCAGACAAAAACACACCAGACTGTAAAGCGGCTCATCAAAATAAAAGCCTCAAAGGCTACCCAGAGCACCAATTTTATTCTGACCCGTTTACCAAAGTGTTTCATTCCCATAGATACGATGAATAGAGACCTTCAAACTTTGATCACAGCTTTTGCCTTGAAGGTTTAATGTTTTGTGAGAGAAATCTTCTATAATGTCCAGAGTTCACATTTTAAGAAACTGACATTACCAACATACACCCATGGGTGGTAGAGAAGAGCTGGTTAGTGGTGAACAAACGGTTTTATTAAATCAGAGAAAAGATGTTGCTGAAGCTGAACTTTTCAGCCTTTGGAGGGGAGGAAGTAGAGGGGGAGGAAGTGGGTGTTGTTTGGAAAGAAATGATTGAGCAAAATGGTTCTTGCAAAGATAAATGATGAAATCTTGTCAGGGTTTTTGTCCATTACGTTTTTTCATTTATCTGCAGTATTCTTAAGAATAATCACAAATCCCATTGAGGCACATTTTAAAAAGTTTAATTTTAAAAAGTGTAGCAGACTGTTAGTAAAGGAGAGGTTGAAATTTGTGTCCATCTCCACTTCATATTCCCAACAACTGTTTTCCACTTTATCTTTAGTCTTCAATATGGCTGAACGCTATTGGTTTGTTGTAGCTGCTTTAGTCGATCGCGACCACCAACAGGAAGTAGAGGCTTCACATGTCAAACAGCATCACTTAGTTTTATCCAAGTAGATTTCTGTTTAAATCAGATTCCTACAGATATTTAAAATGATGCTTAACGAGTTTATGTGAATCATGTTTATACAGCACAGTGTGATGTTGCTTTAGTCTGTTTAATCAAGAAGAAAAACCATAATCTTTTTTTTTTGCACTTAAGAAAAACTCTTCTTTCAAACCAAACAAGCCAAAATAAAAACCAGTGCTTGATTTAAATAAAATAACTAAGAATGCTGAAAGTCTCTGAACTGATCTTGACAACTTCCTGTGGAATCAGCTGGTTTTCCGCCTCTTCATGTTGACGTTGTGCGTCGCTGCCTCCTCCTGGTCTCTCTTGAAACCTCGCTCAGAACCAGCAGCTGGGGTCTGATCACTGCCCAGCTCAGTGAAGCCTCCTCTTGGATTTCTCAGCTCCCTCTTCTCCTTTCTCTCCTCCATCTCCTCCAGCACCTCAGCAAAGAGGCTCTTCAGTGCAGGAAAGAGTTTGGGGATCATTTTAAAGTCTCTGAAGCGAACCTGGAAGAAGAGATATTTTTGTTGAGTTGTTTTTATGTCTTAATTTAACAAGTTTTAACTTCAGTTCCCATCAAAACTGTCATTAGGTGCTGCAGAAAAATGAACGATAGGCTAATCAATGAGTTGGGTTTCCTTCTTCAGTTTCAGGCAACAGTGACCCAGACGTGCAGCTGTAGTGATGATGTTGTCCAGGTGGTTTGCTCCTGCTTGGCCCAACTGTTGCAGTGTGAAAATGAACCTAACCAAATGAAAGGACTCCCAGCCCCATCACACAGGCACTATCCTGGTCTTGAAGAGCTCTTACCTTCATGTGGTCAAAGGATATGCCCACTCTGTCGTTGAAGTCTTCACTGAAGAGAGGGACTTTAGCGTAACGTTGGCTGAAATGATTCAACATGATGAAGTCGGCGTTCATCTTCATGCCGATGCCAATGGCCTGAGAAGTTGTGCTGTCAGGAGACAAATGATCCAACTGCTGATTAAAGAAAAGACAAGCTGCCACCCTAAAACAGGACAAACTCGTTCCCTCACCTGTGTCTCTTCTCCAAAGCTTCCTCCTCCAGCTCATCCTCCAGCGTGGCCTCGTGGATCAGCAAAGTCGAGTTCTTTCCTAAAAGAAAAAAGTTCCCCTGAATTACAAACACTTCCAGCTTCTTCCTGTTCCACAGGAAATCGATGGAGTCATAATCAACAGTCAGCATGACTGCAGATGCATCCATAAAGAACGGGTCTGGGATTCGGCTGGATTTGGACCGAGTCCAGCCGAGCACTTTTAGAAGAGCCAATAAAGCTGGACCTCACGGGGATCATTAGAAGGCAGCCGGCCACAACAGTGAATTTGATCAATTATTCAGAGCGGCCCGCGCAGCAAAGCTACAGTTAAGGTTCTGACCTGTTATGAGTCACTAAAATATTGAAACTGTGCGTTTAGTTTAAGTGGTGCACACGCCTCGTCTGACTGATGTTTGGGCTTTAATCTAAGAGAGTGGTGCTTACCGATGTTCACGAAAGCATCGCAGGGCATGGTGTCCCCCGAAAAGGCCAGCTTCCAGCCTGATTGGTGTGTGATGCTGCAGGCGAAGGCGTTCTTACAGTGACGCACCAAGCATGTTCGGAACTGACACACACACACACACACACACACACACATAAGAAAAACTTTAACTCTACTTCAGATGAAGCTCAGCATGAGGCAGACCTTCTGCAGATCACTCTTCTTCAGCATTTCTTGGATGAAGGAGCTGGTCTTGGGGTTTTGCTCCTCAGCATCATCACACAAACTTCTGTTTGGGATGAGGCTGAAAAACAGAAAAAGACCCATCACCAAAGAAAACCATCCCGCTCAAACCTTCAAAACCTGTTTAGTGGAAGCTGAGGATAACATTTAAGAGTCTGTTTTTTTTTGTCACAACAAATTAGTTGATGTGAAATTCAAAATCATTAATATTGTGCAGATTGTTATCAGTTATGTTGCTCTGGTCATTATTATCAATACATCACCTGAAGACGCAGTATTTGGTGAAAGAGCAGAACAAGGTGCTCTGATATTAAACTAATAAAATATTTAGCACAGTTTAATTGTGTTATTCAGGGTGGAGGTCAAGGTGGGGTCATGGGTAACTGCTGTGTTTGTATTCAAACCAACCATGTCTGATGCAGAGCCCTTATTCACAGAGCTGAGGTGCTTTTACATACTTGAAGTGACCGAGGATCTCCTCACAGTGGTCGTGATACTGCCCGAGCCAGGTCATGATCTGGACCGGAGCCACCAGGGAAACGGGGCTGAAAGCTTTACCTAAACTGGTCTGGAAACATGAAGTTAAAGAAGCTTTTTTTAAGTCTTCGAAACAAACACTCAGCATTCAAACGTAGAGGTTTCCTTTGACGTACCAGCGCTCGTTGCCTCTGATACAGCAGCTTTAACAACCCCTAAAACAAACAGCCAGTCAGGATTCTGTGGGAGCTGGTTTTTGGTTCTGCACGGCTGCTTACCGTGTGATGGTCAGCATGCAGGTGTGAGATGAACACCGCTGAGATTTTAGACAGAGCTTCTTCTACATCGTTCCCATAGTGTCTGCAGAGCTGTCCAAAGGTTCCCTCTCCACAGTCCAACAGCACCGACTGACTCGGACTTCAGGCAGGAAGAAACAAAACAATAAAAAAAGAAACTGAAAGAAGAATGTTTCTTTAACAGCTGCAAAGGAAAATAATTCAAATGCCACCTTCTGCTGTTAAACACTAGTGCCAAGCAGTTCTCTGCTTTGTCACTGGGACACATTTTTAGCACAACACCCCTGATGTGATGCAACACTGCTGACCGTCCTGGTTTTATTTGAAATAATTACTTGTAATTTAGTTCATATGACTTATGACATATCATTTTACTTTAAATGTTTTCCTTTAACAAAAAGTGGTTGTGATCTTATGTCTTTAGTGTTTCTCTACTCTTAAGATACTGAGCAAATATATTTGTTACCACCAAGGTGAAAGAACAAGCATAACCATCCGACGTACCTGATGTTAACCAAAGTGCCGCTAACGTTTCTGATCTTCATGGGCAGAGCTGATCCCGTTCCCAGAAACACCACCTCTGGGTAGCTTTCCTTTGGACCTGCGGGAAAAAAACAAAAGTTGCATTGTTTAAACCATTGTTTAACATGACTGATCCTCTAAATGTTACAGGACTACCAGAACAGAACCGACCAGAACGTTCTGCAGCTTCAGCCGAGCAAACCTTCCTGCACTTATCCACTTCTTCCAGAAAGTTTGGCACCTCCGAAGCTTCTTTAAGGAACTCCTCAGTGTTGCAGGAGGGGATGGCGTCCCTAACAAAGGAAGCAGACAAACACCGCTGCTCATCAAGCTGCACGCACTCACTCACTCACCTGTGACGGGGTCAGAGAGAAGGAAATAGACCGTTTCTGTCACCAGGCAGAGCATGGAGCTGCTCACTGATGTCAAGGACAAACTAACCTTTGCCACTCTATTACAGGTCTGAGTTGGAACTTCAGCAAACACTCGGCTCTGACATTTGGGACATGCAGCGTTGCCGGAGTCTCCTGAAGACAGAACAAGAGGAGCTTTGGTGTTCGGTTCACACACACGGAGTTCTTAGTCAGGTTTCTTGTTGCCACAATCATACATGATGATCTTCTCCCTTTAATTCAATTTTACTCTGGCTGAACTGACCGGGTTTAGCTTCTTTTCACAGAGGAGTTTACACTAACCCTTTAGCTGACAGGTCAAAAGCTTTGAAGATCCCATATTTGTAATACACTAAATGCTAAACTGAAAAAAATTATAAAAATAGGGAGAAGTTTCTATGAAAGTTACACATTAGCAATAATTATTATTAAATTAATATTAATTTCATTTAACTTCCTGTCTGTCTACTAACTAATACATTTACCGTCAGTGAAGGAGACAGTCAGGTGAGTGGTTACCATGGTGACCCCAATGAGCCACTGGCAACAGCTTTAACATTCATGTCGTTCTTGTTACTCTTATGCAATTGTTACATCATAGTTATGTACTTTATTTCAGTTTGAATTATTAACAAAGTTGATGTTTCGACTTTCGGTTTGTACGTCACCAAGATGGCAGCGCAGTAGACCTGAGAATATAATAACCTTTACCCCGTTAAAACCGTGCAAACTCGTCCTCGAAGATGGAATAATGCTGGGACAAGAGGACTACAGTGCAGTAGGAGCAAAAGGGAGGGCGCTATCGCTAGCTGCTCGGCTACAGCTAACTAGCTTAGCTGCTTTACATGAAGCTCCGCACTGAGCGATTTAATTCCACCGAGAAGAAAATATGACCGATATGGAAGTGATACTCAAGGAACTGAGGGATTTTCGACAAAGAAAGTAGGGCGAGTTTGGGGGTGATTAAGGAAGAAATGGTTAAGATGAGCTCTAGAATGCACGAGGCGGAAGTAATAATAATAATAATAATAATGCATTGAACTTATATAGCGCTTTTCTAGACACCCAAAGACGCTTTCACACACTCTCACATTCACACACTGCTAGTGATGGTGAGCTACTTGTAGCCACAGCCGCCCTGGGGAGGTCTGACAAGAGGCGAGGCTGCCATTTGGCGCCGTCGGCCCCTCTGACCACCACTAACACAGGCAAGTTGGGTGAAGTGTCTTGCCCAAGGACACAACAGCAGGATACCCCTGGCGGGAGCTGGAATCGAACCCATGACCCTCCGATCATGAGGCAACCCGCTCTACCACCTGAGCTGCTGCTGCCCCAATATAATAATAACAATAGATTTTATTTGTAACGCACTTTATATTTCAATGCAATCTCAAAGTGCTACAGTAGGAAATCAGAATGTAAGGAATAATTAAAAACTATGAATAAAAACAAATTTAAAAAAATACATGAAGCCATACAATGCTAAGTTAACACACAGTAAAACAACAGCAATACCAATCAGTTTGGAAAAGCTTGTGTAAATAAAAATGTCTTCAGATGTTTTTAGAACATTCAACACTCTGAGGTGCTCTCAATGTTTCAGGGAGTGTGTTCCACAGGGGTGGGGCTGCTGCTTGAAAAGCTCGATCTCCCATGGTACGAAGTTTTGTTCTGGGCTGTTGCAGGAACTGAGAAATTCTAGAGCACAAGTACGCATTGAGAAGGCAGACAGAGAATTCAGAATGCTGAGGAGGCCGTGACAGAAATGCTAAAGCTACAAGTGAAGCTGGAGGACAAACTACTGGACCTGGAAAGTCGGTCGAGGGATAACGTTCATATCTACGGTGCGCCAGAGATGGCGGAGAAGGACTCCTCCACAATGAGTGAGTTTGTGCAGGGTATCTGCACGTTTAAGGGAGCCAAATTTAAGACTTCTAAGACATTTTTTAAGGCCACTTTAACCAAATTTAAGCTATTTTTAAAATTAAATTTAAGCTACAATTTCCAGCTATTGCCTGGAACCGGTGTAAACCACGTCGCGAACGTGGGATTAGCCATCCAGTTACCATTAAACTTGCACTTCCCCATGGCGCATGCTCCCGCTAGCTTAACCAGCTAATGTGCCAGGGTTTTTCCTGCATTCTAATTTGCGTGGCGGCCGCCTCCAGCTAATTTTGTGCTGCCCCAGCCTGATTTCACTCTGCCCCAAGCTATATGGTTTTTATTTTAACAGCAGATGCAGCATTGCGCCACTAGGGAGCTGTATCAGCAGCGGTGCACCGAAAAGCGCCAAGACCGCAGCAGACAAAGATCAAAACTTGCTTTTCTCGCTGGTTGGTACAGATCTATGGTTGGTGCTATTGACGTCCTGATGTCCCCCCAGGCTCTTTCATATCAGAGCAGGGCTGTAACTGTCTGTGAGTGTCTGTCTATTTTTAAACGTAGCGCTGTTGCAACATCTTTGAATTTCTATTTTCCCCAGAACTTTATTGAGCAAAAGTAAGTTACGTGTAAGAAAAATGCTTTTTACTGGCGCACAGTGTGGAAATCTGGATGCAGTGGAGGAAAATAAAGGAACCAGCAAAGGCACAAAGGCAGAAGCGGTCCAAAGTTTGGGATCAAAAGTGCAGCTACACGCAGACTGGCAAATGCTAAAGCTAATGGGTGGCAGTCTCGCGATCAACTGGCATACAGAAAAATATATGATGATCGTAAAACTAAGAAAGATTAAACTCTACAAGTGGATGAAAAGTCCCCACCATCCTGTTTATTCTGCATCCTGCAGCGCTACGGATCAGAACCGCTGCAGGTACGAGTCACTTTACTGCTACAAGTCTGCTCCACACACAGGAGTAGGAAGTACGGCAAGCCGTTGTAGTATATAACTCACAAACGCTTCTATCTTTGAACATAATTTGAACTGGTTTATTGCCAACCCGTACATAATAGACATGCTACCGTTACATTGTTAGCAGCAGAAATTAAATGTTATTATCATTTCCAACACAAATGCATGTTAATGAAATGCATTATATTTTACTGGATATATGTATGTGTTATTTTGACTAAGATGAGTTATTAATACAAACCTAAAATGTTACTGAAATGTAGGTCAAACATTTAAAAATATTTTAACTATAAATATCAGATGGGAAAAAGGAACTAAACACCAATCTAATGCATATTTTAGAGCCTTTCATAATAAGAGTCTGTTATTTCAGACTGACAATTTTGTTGTTTTATTTAATAATTTTTAGCAGCAAACCAGTTTTGTTTCACTTGAAACTTTATCAAATGGAATATTCAATAATCAACAGAAGCGTAGATTAGAACACCTAACGAAAACATATTTGGCCTTTAAAAAGGTAAGGCAGTTGAATGCACAGAGTGTGCATGTGCTGGCGCATGGTCACGAAGGTACCACCTCTGCCTTAATTTGGGCCAGAAAAAAACCCTGAATGTGCTCATCTAAAAATAGCCCCCTTTCACAACAGACTGAATGTGTACGGTTCCGCTTACGCCAACATCATACACAAAAAATGCTGAACACTAACTAGAAATTCATGATTTTTTTATAGAAATAAAAGAATCTTTTTTATTGGGTCTTTGGTAATTTAAGACCTTTGGAAACTGTATTTAAGGATTATTTGTAATTTTTAAGGATTTTTAAGGGCTTAAATTTGGAAAAGCTAATTTAGGACTTTTTAAGGACCCGCGGATACCCTGTTGTGGAGAAGTTGTTACATGAAGGGTTGGAGATTCCCCAGAGCGAGCTAGTTATGGGTATTGAGCGGGCCCACCGCTCACTGGGTCCACAACCACGGGATTAGACACCCCCTCGCTCGATTGTTGTGAAATCCCTCAGCTTCAGGAGAGGGGCTGCATGACTTAATTTTTTTTAAAGTCGACAGTCAAGTAATGAAAATCGAGTCGACGTTGTCTAGTCATTGATGACGTCATACACCTGAAGCGGCGTGGGGGGGGGGGGGAGTTGGTTGGTTCGCTGGAGTTTGACAATTAAAATTGCACCCATATTTTCAAAGTTAAACACATCTCCTTTTAACAGCGGTAGTTTCTGCATTTATACTGCTCCACTTCAGCCCTCTCCCCCCTCCCCCTGCGCAGCGGCCGCAAACTCACTGATGCGCCTGCAGCCTCTCAGAGTTCCTGCTGCTCTAAACATTAAAATAATTATTTCATTTTCTGTTCCTCACTTCTGATTACCTTCAGTGGTGTTTGTTGCAACCAGCAGGTACAAAAACTAACTTGTTTTTATTTGACTATTTTTCTGTCCTGCCTGTTTATTATCTTCCTGCATCTCCTCTCAATCCTAAAGAAAAACTGCTACCTAGGTTCATATATATTCACCTCATGAGTTACCTTTGAACTGCAGTTCTAAAAGATCTACCGACCGCAGAAACAGCGGAGTGCTCGCTGCTCGCCGGCCGCATCAGTGAGGTGCGTCACCGGTGGACAAAACAGGTAATATGCCCCGCTCCACAGCAGCGAAAAGCATCAGGCACAAATAAAAGACAGAAAACATAAAAAGGAAATGAGGCGACATGAACGATCGCGTGTTAAATTAGTTTTTGAGGTGGCGACACCTGATTTGATAATGTTACTGTGGCCGTGCTCAGGACGCAGATGTCTGGAGCGCGTCAACAATCAGAGCTTTGCATGCACAAGCTGGTTAAAGTTAGGATGGGGTGAGAGGAAGGTTAAATTGCAAGAGGGTAAAGGTCACAATTTGGTTAAATGTCCGTTTTACCGCAGGTGTCAGTACTGAGCTCTGGCACAGCGCGTTGCCTCCACCTCCCGACGCGCAGGTGCTCGTCACCTGCTGGCTTTTCCGAGGACTGCGTCTTGTCGCTCATTATCACGTGACAGCGACTAGTCGATGACAGGCATAAAAAGTCACTATAGAGCAGTGAAGTCGACTAGTTCATACAACCCCTACTTCAGGACCAAAGAACTCTTGCTCAATAAAGCATGGCAGAAAAAAGGTTTTCCCTGGAAGGGCAACCGAGTAAATCTACACTATGATTACCCACCTCTCATTCTAAAGAAACGTAGGGAATACGCAGAGGTGCGGAAGATCCTGAAGGAACAACACATCACATTCAAAACTCTCTTTCCAGCCAGACTGAAAGTAAAATATGCCGAAGGAACCAAAATCTACAACACTGTGGTAGAAGCTACGGCAGACATGGCCAGGATGGGATACCCGGTGAAGGTCGTCAAATCCCCCGAAACAGTGCTGAGCACCTGAAGCAGCTGTCGTGGACTAAAGTTGGTAAAGGAGCAGCAAACAAAGCAGCGACCGACAGATGAGATCCCGGTTACAAGGAGAAACTCAGAGCTTTCAGGACGACCTCACCAGCGTCTCCTGAAAAATTAGGTTTAACCCGCCATGTTCCTTGCTCTTTAAGAATAATTTTATTGAGACTTCTGTATTAAGTAAACAACTTAGGTTTAGGAAGATGTTCTCGGCAACGCCATAACCAGTGAGGACCTCCATCAAAGACTGATGAAGAAGCCGCCCCTACAGGTGAAACAAGGTCCACTTTGAGGACCTCTACCTTGGGAGTTAGATTTAGGTTGGTTCGATTTAGATTTATGGTATTTTTTTCTTCTTTTCTCTTTTTCTCTTCTTTTTTGCACGTTATTTGTTCAGAGTTCACAGTGGTGTGTGGGGAGCCTGGGAAAACCGGTATGTATGCTCTGTAATTTGAATGAGTAGTGGATTAACAAAATTGGTATTGATCAACATTAATGGCTTAAATAAACCGGTAAAGAGATGGAGAGTCCTATCTAAACTTAAAAAGGACAAAGCGCAAATAGTTTTCATGCAAGAAACGCACCTGTTAGATACTGAATATGTTAAACTAAACAAGCTTGGCTATAAACACGTGTATTATTCTTCACACAGAACGGGGAGGTGGAGGCGAGTGACGATTTTGGTGAATGGGAGCCTGAATTATGAATATTTGTCAGAGTATAAAGATGAGGCAGGAAGATTTATAATGGTAACTGGCAAGATTGATGGAATTACTTTCAGTTTTTTTAAAGTGTACGTACCACCAGGAAGTGGCTGGTTTCTCTACAAGCGAATTCTAGAATTGACAACCACATAGAGTGTGGGAATTTTAATATGCGGGGGCGATTTCAACCACACGTTGAATGGGGCTCTCGACTACCCCACCGGGAAGGGAGATAGAAGAAAAATCGGGAAAAGATTGGTGCACCTTATGGGGGAGCTGGGTCTGGTCGATGTGTGGAGGGATAGCCACCCAACAGACAGGGAATTTACTCATTACTCATGGGCACATAATGTGTAATCAAGATTAGATTAGATTTTCATGTTTAAAAATTATTTATTTAGGTCGAGAGACTGTGAAATAGGCCCTTGTACCATGTCTGACCACAACCCAATAAACATGAATATTTGCCGGCTTAGCAAGGAAAGATCCACACTATGGAGGTTGAATTCTAACATTCTTAATGACCCAAATATTAAACATCGATTGAAAATGGAAATAGTGGAATACTTACAATATAACGGCAAGAATGAGGTGCCTCCGGCGATAGTATGGGATACATTAAAAGCTGTGATTAGAGGTAAGATAATTAGTATTTCCTCTTTTCTGAAAAAAGAAGGCCAGCAAAAGCTCCGGCTCCTAGAGGACAGGTTGCCGGACCTACAACTATTCACAATCTCTTTCCGGTGATATCAAATCCGAAATACAAAGAGTGAAAAAAGAAATAGAGGACCTGAACACTAAAGATGTACAGAAAAAATTACTCTTCACAAAACGTTACTATGACGCAGGAGGGAAATCACTGAAATATTTGTCATATAAGCTTAGGAAACAACAAGCAGAGAGGACCACTCACAAGATTAAAAAAAAAACATAAATGGACAAATGGAAGTTGAACAGGATAAGATCCAATCGTGTTTTTTGGACTACTATAGACGACTATACTCCCAGCCCTACCGAGATGATAATCAGGGACAGAATGCGCTTCTATCAGAGCTCGAGTTACCAAGGGTGACAGAGGGACAAAACAAAAAGTTCATATCCCCCATAACGAAGGAAGAAATTAATTCGGCAATTAAAAGATTGAAAGGAGGGAAAATGGCGGGGACAAGGGTAATGCAAACAAAACACAAGTACTAACTTTGAACTATGACCCACCAAAAGAAATAAAGGACAGATATGATTGGAAATGGGACAGGGATAGTATTAGATATTTAGGGGTGACCCTGCACCGAGAATTTTTTAAAATGTATGAAGTTAATTATGGCCCCCTGAATTTAGCGCTAAAAGCAGACATACAGAGATGGAACATCATACCTTTCTTGGAACTACATTCCAGAATTGATTCAATCAGATTAAATATTCTCCCCAGACTGCAGTACTTATTTCAGTGTCTACCAATCTCCATACCCAAAAACAGTTTGTGGAATGGGATAGAATGTTATCGAAATATATCTGGAAAGGGAAAAAGCCCAGAATCAGATACAAGACCCTACAATTGAAGAAATATATCGGTGGTCATGGTCTTCCCTGTTTGCAAGAATATTACTGCGCGGCTCAGTTGAGACCTCTGATATGTTTATGCTCTCCACCCTACTCTGCTGGAAGGAAGGACGTGGAAGGGACAAGCATCAAAAATGTTCCTGTAAAGGCACTCTTGGCGGGCCATAAATTGCAGAATAAGGTCAACTTGAATGAAGAACCCATCCCAAACGTAAATAACGACATGGAACGAAACAATTCAGATCTGTGGTTTGGAAAACGCTATAAAAATCCTAAGATGGTGTGCATACGATTCAGATTTTATCCCTAACCAACACCATGACAGATTTATGAAATGGATAGCGATGGGGTTGTCTGTTAACTCTCTTTTCCACAAGGGGGCATTACAATCTTTCGAAAATCTACAAAGACAACAAGGACTAGGCCCAGCAGCTTTCTTCCGATATTTACAGGTCAGACACTGTATTTACCAGGATCTGAAAGTGGTGATAGACAATCAAGGACTCATAGAGACATTTGTGTCACTAACTAGGAAATCAGGAACCCACGACAAAATTATTTCAAAGTTATATAACTGCATCTCGGAAAGCAAACAAGGTCGCACACTTTACATTAAAACAAAGTGGGAAAAGGAAGGTAATCTGACGATTACGGATGACAACTGGAGAAATATACGTGAAATACAATGGGCTACAACAAGATCTAATGGGTGGCGTGAATTCTGTTGGAAAAACATAACGCGATTTTTCATCACCCCAGAGAAGAATAAGTATAGGGGCCTCGGCGACTCCTGCTGGAGATGCGGAGTAGATGGTGCCAACCACTTTCACATCTTTTGGAACTGCCCAGCGCTGTCTCAGTACTGGTCGAGAATACACGAACATGTACATAATGTCTTTGCATTGGTTTTCCACTGTACATTTGAAGCCCTGTATTTGTGTAATGTACCAATGGACAGTCTGGATTCAAAGGATAAGAAACTTTTATACATTTTTGTGGCAGCAAGCAAGAAGGCTCTAACAAGGAAATGGCTCAAATCTGAGCCTCCAACGATTGAAAACTGGATAAGCATCATCCAAGAGATCTACACTAACCTTGAAAAGAGACGAACCCTAACCCTTCAGGATATGGTCCAAATGGACAGAATATATTAAGCCTGTAACATCTGAATTGTAGCTGTAAAGGTGTATTAAAAGCACAAATAATATGGCAATGACTTGGCTGCCCCGCCACCCATACAGTTCCGATGTTCATGCAACAAGTTAAAAATGGTAAAGCGACAGAACATATTCAATGTCATGAGTAAATGTACAACCCTATGTGCTTTTTTTCAATAAAAGATAATAAAAAAAAATACAAATAAAAAGTTTGTTTCCTCAGCACCCATCAGAGCTTGTTTACAGATGTTCTGGTACGATTTGTTACCTCTGACTCATAGGTTTTAAGCTGTGGAAAGATCTCTGGGTGAATCATGTTGAGCTGCGTCTGGATCTTGTGACTCCTGATGTTATGAACTGTGCAGGCATTTTCATTAAGAATCAGGTGTTCTGTTGTGGACGGAAACCTGCAGAAACATCACATAGGCTCAGACGTAGACTACATGAGAAACAGGGTGAAAGTGCTCCAAGGTAGGTTTAAAAGTGGAACAATGCAAACCTCTCCATCCACTCTTTGTACTGGTTTGTTTTCAGGACAGACTCCGGAGTCATGTGGACCACCAGTGCAACTGAGTCTTCTGTCCCTTCAGCCTGGTACCTGAGACACAAGACAGACAAACTAACTGAAGCAGAGTCTCTCCCATCATTTTAAGTACTGATAGTAGGAATGGGAGATATAGCCAGATATAGCCTAAAATCTATATCGCTTTAAAGCACATGCTGTAACGATATATTCTTTTCTTCTGTTTATACATGTAAAAATGTCTGACGCAGGCACATTGACCCTCCTGAATCCGTCCTTCGGGAGTATGGGGTACCAGGCCCTTTGATACAGTCCCTGTATGTCAGAGCTTGGTCCGCATTGGCGGCAGTGTCGAGCTTGTGTGCAGTGTGAGTCGGACTCCGTCGAGGATGCTCTTTGTCATCGATTCTGTTCATAACTTTTATGGACAGGATTTATAGGTGCAGCCAAGGTGTTGAGGGGATCTGTTTTGGTGGTCTGAGGATCGGGTCTCTGTGTTTTGCAGATGATGTGGTCCTGTTGGCTTCATCAGAACGTGATCTCCGCTCTCACTGGAGCTGTTCACAGCAGAGTGTGAAGCAGCTGAGCATCTAGTAGGATGCACGTCCAACCGGAAGAAGACCTAAAGAAAGACTCAGGACACACTGGCAGAATTATGTCTCACGGCTGGTCAGGGAGCCGGCCCAAGCGGCTGGGGAGAGGGAAGTCTGGGCCTCCCTGTTTAGGCTACTGCCCCCACGACCCGACCTGGATAATCAGCTGAAAATGGATGGGTGGATGGATAATACGGGTTTTATCTTCCACTGTGCATTACTATGCGATAATTTACCTTTGGAGCTGCAGATTGGTGCAAACAGCTTCAACAAACTCCTCAGACGGACACTCCACTACAATGAAGACTGGCCCTGGGTCAGTGGGGGTGCACACCTGCTCAGGTCGGATCTGTGAGACAACAGCAAACCGTTTCAGCTGATGCAGTCTGGAGCTGCAACCCGATTCCTCTCAGGGACAAACACAGCACCTCTTTTCCTTCATAGATGATACTTTTTCCATTTTTTAAATTGGAGATGAGAGGACCGATGGCTGCTGTGCCTCTGTGAAGTGAGATTTGATCAAAATCAGAGCGGCAGGGGATTTTAAATCTTTATGGAAATTGTTTTTGTACAGAAAAGCAGGCTTACACCGGCAGTCCGAGCTCTTTGGCTTGAGCAACTAAAAAGTTTCCTTTCTTGGGGTGAAGCTGTAAAGGTGTTTAAAATGAAGAAAAGGTCAGAGAGTTTACAAAATAAATTCTCACAAAGATATTTTTACGGTGTGTTACCTTGCAAACAAAGGCAACCACCAGCGACGGATCTCTAAAGGCTGCTCCTGCTTCACCAACTACAGAGTTGAAACAAATAACTGAACGCTTTACAGCAAACGTCTCGTTTTGACGGAGGAAATGATCAGATCACAGCTTTGCTAACAGTCGGATTAGTGTGCAGATGTCAACCTCTAATGGAGGTTAATAACACATCCTTTTGTTAAACAACAATTATGAAGACCAACCTTACCAAAAAAACTCTTTTGAACAACAAAATAAAGAAATAACAGAAATTATTTAGAAAAAATGTCTCCTCTTAATATTTTCTAATTATTTATTAATAACATATTTTCTGGCTTGTTTTCCATTCGTGGTCTGCAGCCCAAGTTAACTCACCTGGATCAAATCTGCTACTACTGTGAAAATGGTCTTTTCTTGGATAACTCTGGGTGGGGCTGCTCCTGCCGGGTCTGGGGGAGCGTTTTCCTCCATCAGCCTTGGACTGTGCTACAGATGCACAAAAAATAAAAGTCTGATATTTTTTATCTCTCCAGAAGATAAAGTAGAGCTTTAACAACAGGTAAAAATCATTTAAACTCACCAAATATTGGCACCTGATAGACCTTCATGGTTTCATCTTGGTACGTCTCCTCGGAGTAAGGACGCACCGCTGTGGTCGCATCAAACATTTATTATCACACAAACACACACGAAGCTAATCCAGAACAAAAAACCCAACCTACACAGCTTGATGTCCTCCAGAGGGCCAGAAAATGACTTGATGGCATGCAGATAGTTCTTCTGTAGAATGAAAAAAAAAACAGGAAACATTCAGTGAATTTGTGTTAAAGGTGTTGAACACAAATGTGTTTTAAACCTTTAATCTGGATTCTCACCAGCTGTGGAGGCCCAGAGAGGACACATTCAGGTACACCCGTGTCTTTTAAAGTCAGTATCATTCCTGAAACAGAGAAAGAATGCACATATATTTTTAAAAGGAAAATGTTAAAGAGGAAAATGGGATTTAAACCCAAACCAACACTAAAGAAATGTTTCAATTCAATAAAAAGAAAAATCACTAAATGAACAAGACTAAAATTGTTTTTTGCTGCAAATTCTTGTAGGAAGTACTTCCTGATCTCCTGTAGCTACTACGACGTGTTAAACTCCAGACACGGTCCAAGAGAAACTGGGAGGCTTTTGACAATATCAGTAAAGTTACCACCGTTCTAAAACATCTAAATGTCAAAATGATTCCTCTGACCTGATAAACCTCCCACATTCTCCCAGCTCAGCCGGGTCAGGAAGATGTTGTCCAACCGGGAAGCTTTCAACCTGCCACATGGAGACACGTTACTGGTGTTCGCCTGTCCAGCAGACCCACTGAGAAGGCAGCAGAGTCAAAACCAGCTTACTTGTGCTCCTGCATGAGTCTCTGAGTGCCTTCGCCACAGTTGAACAGGTACCTGAAAGCAGAGACAGGAAGTGTTTCGTGTTCACACAAACCGACAGGCTGATGCTGGGTCGCATGTAAATCATTTTATGTTTTTGTTTCATATTCTGTTTAGGAGTCTAATCAGAAGAGTTTTCAAAAACGTGGGACATGATTCGGCTAGAGTTTGGTAATAAACCCGCTGAAAACAAATCCCACGTCTGTTGGCAGAGTCTGACTCAGTACACTGAACTTAGAATGTCCATCTGCAACTTACTGTAGTCTACTAACCCAGCGGTTCCCAACGTGGTGTCCCTATGCTAAAGTTGTGAGGTTACAAATATTACATTTGTAAAAATTACATTCATAAAATCATAGTAGCATACCCAAACTGTAGAAATAGAGTGAATAGAGGGTGTAGTACCAGGGAATCGTGAGAGAGGGCAAGTGTGTTTAGGTGTTCAATTGTCTAAATGATGACACGGCTGATCAGTTTTTTCTTGCAACAGAAAATCAGATCTGAATTTTAAATTTACATTTTTAGATTTTATGTTTGACTGGGTCCCATTTTCTTCTGATGGATAAAATGAAAATATGTTTATTCAATCCAAAGATTTTTCACCGTCATGCCGCAACAGGACCTCAGGAAGAATAGCTCCACACTATGGTGGGAGCTAATGAGGCTCTCAATAAATAAAATAAAATAAAAATAAACAGGAACAGCAGGTAATGGAGTCAAATAAGCCTAAAATCAGAAATAAAAAACAAACTCTAGAATGACAATAGGTAGTTCTGGTGAGAGTAAAAGAATTTATAAAACCGTGAGTCAAACGTACAGAGATGATGTAAGAAATAAAAAGACAATTAATGTGGGTTGGAAAACAAACGTACAGCAATGGAGGAATGAGATGTGAAAATAAAAGCCATGGCATAAATGATGTTTGTAAATCTGGAATGCAAAAGAAAAACGCAGTACAGTAAGTGCAAACTCACTGGTGAAAATTAAACATTCGTGTTTAAAGTTTACAGTCTACTAAAAATGTTCACGAGTATTTCATTTAGTACTTTTAAATGATTCCACGTAAAGTCGACTTATATCAATTAAACACTGAGCGAAAAGCGAGTTATTAGATCATTTCTGTAGCTATGAACAGAAGCAGACGATGGTGCGCTAACATGGACGTAATTTTCACTTTAGAAGTGGGGGGACACGGGGGTGGGGGGGGGGGGTATCTTTACAGTATGCTCTAATGGGAAACAGGCTTCAACACAAACAGTTGTTTTCTGCTTGGTCCTAGGGCTCAACTAGTGTCAATTTAATATAGCGTAATATTGTTTTTGGATGGTAAAAAGTGCAGGGGTCAAACCTTGACTTTGGAAAAAGTGGGGGGGGACATGTCCCCCCTGTCCCCCCCCCCCCCCCCCAAAAAAAAAATTACGTCCATGTGCGCTAATGTACCTGTTAAAGTCGGAAAACACGTAGATTCCCGCAGCGTTGTCTCTGCTTCCAGCACCGATCACCTGAACGTACACGGACGCTGGTCCATGAACGTCTCCCCGTTTACCCCGGTTCTCTTTGGTTTTGACCCTGCGCAGTGGCTCCTTCGGTTTCTTCGAGCCCAGCGGCGGCCTCTTTACTGGCAACTGGTTGCTAACCGTCGCCATTGACCGGACAAACTGAGCGAGAGTCCGGCGGAAACAAGTGTCACGAAGTGGGACCCTCGGAGCAGCGGAGAGAGCTCTGCCTTTGACAACCAGCAGCGTAAGTAGCCTCACGTGGACGCTGTTCATACTAAACACATCGGCTGTCTTTAAATACCAGAACCCGGCGGTAACTACATCCAAAAATGGGATCGGTTTATGTTCAAAAGCACTTGTGATCGGTTAACTAGCCTACATTTGCTCCGTGTTCTCACCACTCAGGACATTCACCGCACGCGACTCTTTTTCCGGCATCTAAAGATGACGCATTTTTCAGCTCTTCACGCTGATTGGACGCTTGGCACGTTAACTCATAAACTAACCAATCCCAGCGATGAACTCCAATGAATGCGGGGATTGGGAGTGTGTTGGTTACCTCTGTCAAAAAACAGCCCGGATGCAGTTAAAACTCTGTAACAGATCACGTTTAGACCGTTGAGCACCTCTTCTGGATCTGTTCACATGCTACAACGTTTTGGAGAGACTTCGGACAGCTCTGCAAGGACTTCATTTTAAAATTGGAAAATGTTGTATTTTGTTTTTTCGCAAGCACAGAAAGGAAGATGTATACTTTGTTATGAATTTGTTAATTATTCTAGCTAAATTCTATCTCCACAAATGCAAGTATAGTAACCAAAACCTAATTTCAAGCACTATTACAGTGACACTCTATCTTTCATAAAATTGATTAGTGGACCACTAAACAAAAAAGCTTTAAAAACTATATTTGCACCACCTATAATTTATTTGGATGTGTGTAACATTTCTGTAGTGCACCCCCTGGCATGTTTCATCTTCTTTGTTCAATTTTGTATGCAATGTGTTTGTATCCTTATCACCTTGTTCAATAAAGTTTTGAAAAAAAAACAGATCACGTTTAGCGATTTTAACACCAGATACGATCACTCAGAGTGTTGAATAACTTTATTTAACAAAGTGCAAGCATACATCAAGAGAACAAGTGAATACATTTAAAGAGCAAGTAACGCCTAAATTAACTTTTTCTTGCTGATAAGCTGCATAGATGAGTGTCTAATGGTGTTGTACACATGTGTAATCATTAGTGTGGCAGTTTATCCTTTTGATGCATGAATTATGAAATCTTCAACCATGACATTTTAACAATTTTTTCATTCATCTTTAGGTGTGAATGAAACAACTTTCAACAAATATTTTTGTAACATTTAATAATTTACTAATAATTTACTACATGTCCACCTCAGTGGACAGCGTGCATTCTGAACATGAAACATGTTGGCTTGACTTACTGAAGTTCAAATGGAGGGGCTCAAATGCAATAAAGTCTTCAACAGTTGTGCTTAATAGCAAAAAATAAAAATAACAATTTTGAGTGACCATTATGCATCAAAGGGTTACGTGCAACTTACTCTAAATGTAATATTTCAGCCCAAAATCATAATTACATCTCCATCTTCGGGTTAAAAACTCTGCTCCACATTTATGTAGAACCAGCTGTGGTTGGTGGCTAAGCTGAAAAACGTGACGTTATCTGCAGATTACTATGTTGCTGCACCGCACTGGTCTCCAGGTGAGGCAGCCGCACCTCCACCTGGCTCAGCCACTCACCTGCCGAAATGACACATTAGTGCTGGGAGCCGCTCTCCTCCTTGAAAAAAATGCCCTCCTCCCCTTTTCATCTAATGATCGTGGTTAACAGGAAATCCTCCAGAATGCTGCAGAATCTTAGCCTGGCAAGCCAGACTAAATAAATGTATTATTTGACTGTATGTATCAAACTTTGCAAAGCAAGAATTTGGTTTAGTTCACTAGGCTAGCAGAATCTGTGTTTGCTTTAATCCTGAGGGGTAAGTCTTGTGTGAGTGCGTACTTGCGTGCACGCGTGAGTATGCATGCACTCGTTAGCAGCTAGTTTTTAGATTGAGAAACTCCGACAGCGCACGCGGGGGGGGGGGGGGGGGGGGGGGGTTGAGGGGGGTGCGGTCTACCACTGCCTCAGTGCCGCTCTGTCAGTCCGCCAGGAGCATAGACTGTACATACCTAACCGCCTCTCTCAGAAGCGTTTTCCTAACAGGAAGTGTGGATGAAATACGTCTCCACCCAGGCCTTGACCCTCACTTTAAATGAACATTCAGCCAGGGGGGATTAATTATACAAATATCTGTAAAAAGCCACAAACATCAGTTGTTTTGAGAGTCTTTTTGGTAGAAGAGTGAGAAATTGCATTTATACATCGTTCTACATCTTTTTAAAAATATGGAAAAAGTGGCTTCTTATTAGCAAATTTACATTTATGGATATGGAATTTAGCCAAGAGAAAAAACAAGTTTATTACAAAAAATATCTTATCATACATCTTGATGGTTTATAAAAACAAAGTCAAACACTTTGTCATCTTCAAGAAAAATCCTTAAACATATGCTGAATAATAAACCAGCTGAACTCCTGAAACCTTTCCGTGTAAGAACAGTGCCAAAACAGTTGAGTAACAGTTTCTGGATGACCTTCACAAAAACTGCAGTTAACATTAATATCTCTTTCAAATTTCACCATGTAGTGCTTTGCAGGGTAAATTATTTGAATAATTTTAAATGACACTTCTTTTACTTTATTTATTGACAAATATTTATGGGGGACCATCCATATTCCAGTTGATCTCTGGAACATAGTGATCCCAGCATGATGGGACATATCGGTGCGAAACAATATCTTTTTGAAACAAACTGCAACTTCGTTTATTGCTGTTACCATGTCTTTGTAAAAAGCTAATTTTCCCCACTGCTGATTCAGTTGGACCTGGTTGTGTAAATTGAGTAGATGGTAAATTATCACAATTTTTAAACAGCATTAAAGTTCCTGAGAGTACAGCATTCAGCACCACTGATAATTCCTGGGGACTGCAGGAAAGCTATATCTTGAAAAGAATTTGTTGTAGCTGAGAAGCTGCCCATCCTTATTGAGTAGTTGTGCCACCAGCTGGATCCCGTTGTGCACCACAATGGACAGTGGTGCGCTGCCAGGTCTTTTTTGCCACTGCAGAAGTTTCCCGTGCTGCATTCCCAGGGAAGCTGCACAGATCATCACTTCTTTCACTGCAAAATAAATAGTAATTGTATCAGACATTTGTCTAAGCATCGATAAGATTATCCTTAGTTACTTTCTGTACAAGAGAGTAGCAATATAAAAAGTATTTGGAAGAAAAATATCATGATTAAATTGTATTTCCAACCTAAATATTACTAATAATAACATAGCTATTTATAATACTAATGCTTTCATTTAGTTGTTTTTGTTTTAAAAGGGGTTTTGATTTAATGTGATTTAGTTCTGTGCTTAAACGCTGCTGGAAAAACAACAATAATTACATAAATGGCAATTTGTTAGTTAGCATTGTTTCTGATAAAGTTATTGTTGTTTCAATTTTAGCTACCCCAGCTTTTTAATTACTGTAAACAAGGCACATCTGTGCAAATAGTTCAGCATGAGATACGTTTAACCTTGTGGATCTAACGTTATTATAAAGAGCATGCTTTCATTTGAACATATCACAGTTTAAAGAAATAGTTTATGTTAGCACGCATTGCCATGGGTGGAGGAAAACATTTGAGGAACAAAAGGAGCATGGTGTGAAGGTAAACATGGATTTACTTACTTGGAATTTGGATTTGCTCAGAGATATCTCTCCAATCTTTCACCTTTTTGGAGCGATCGTGGTACTTCTTGTCATTTGTGTCAAACAGACATGGTCTTTGCTGCCAGAGCTCCCCAGACAGACTCACTCAAAAAAAGCTGTGGCCAATTGTTCAAGAAGCCAGGAGCTGGGGTGAGTGTGCTTATCTGAAGGAAGGGTAGACGCTGGCGGATAACAAAAGAGTGGACCCTGACTAATTGCTCCTCTCTGTTCGGCTCTACGATATTGTTTTTGTTCTGATCTATAGGGCTGTTGCATTTTGCCATGACTGTTATCGGCTAAGTTAGTTTTCTCATTCCTGCGCATCATTCCTGAGGTTTTTGCGCATTTATTTTATTATTTCATGCAATCCTTGCTATCTTTAAACTCTAGGGGACTGAAGGATATTGTAAAACATATGGCTATTTTTCTATATTGTAAAGAGCAAAAGGCAAACTGTTATTTTTTGCAAGAAACAGCTAAGGAGGATGAGAAATTTTGAAAACTTCAATGGGGAGACGCTATTTTTTCAGCCATGGTAGCCTACTTCTCGTTCTGCGAGGGCTATGATTATGTTTCATAGGTTTCCTGGAGATGTTTTGGGTCATTCAAGTGATTCTAATGGTCATTGGTTAATGGTGGCTGTGGAAATTGATGGAGTTAAAATCATTTTTGTTTGTGTCTATGGTTGTAACAGCAAAGCAGTTAACAGAATCTTTTTTGCAGATCTTTGTGACAAGATAAGACAGCGGAAAGTCACATTTTCGACAGATCAGGTTATTTTAGGAGGATATATGAATATGGTTCCAGACAGCTCTGTTGATCGTCTTCCCACTAGAGGGCAGTATCACCTCTTTGACTATATTTTCAATGATTTAGTCACCAAAACTAATCTGACTGCTGGAGGGTTAGAAACCCCAGAGTTAGACAGTATACCAGGTTTAACGCTTCTAATAATGGTCAATGTTCTCGACTTGACTACTGGTTAATTCCCAAAAATATGCTAAATAATATCTCAAATTGTGAAATTTCAATTGCACCGTTAACAGATCATTGTTCAGTCAATTTGCTCCTCTCCTTTCATCATTGCAAATCACAAATGTAATAGTAACCTTTTACTGAACTCGGATTTTTGCACAGAAATCAGGAAACTTATTGAAGATGTTTCATTACTTGAACTTTCACCTTTGAATAAAAGGGAATGGTTTAAATTTAATGTTAGGATAACAGCAATTAGAACTGGTAAACATCTGTCTAATCTGATGAAGGCCAGACAGTAATATCATTTGTGCTCAAACGCAGTGTTATCAAAAGAAAAAGGCCAATTGGAAATTTTTAATTGTCAATTAGACAAGTTATTTTTAGACAAAGCACAGGGAGGATTTATCCGCTCCCGGAATCGTTGGATTGAGGAAGGCGAGAAAAATTCCTCATATTTTTTTTATCTTGAAAAACAGACAATCCAGAAAGAAAATCTCTAAACTGAACATTAATGGGTGTGTTACTGAGGACGCTGATTTAATAAGTCAAACAATTAAAGATTTTTACTGCAAACTTTATTCTTCCAACTATTGACTCACTGTAAGTACTTTTTTAGTGAAATCGGCAATTAAATTGAAACAATTGACTTGGATTTTAAGACTGAGTTGGATGG